TTTTTTTTATCTTATTATTGTTATTATTATTACGTTAAATGCTTCACAGTTCGCTCGTTTAGTAAGTCAATGAGTAGGTAAGAATAACTCCATTGTTTAATAAAGAAAACCCCTTTGCTTTCCCATTAATTACACTCCTACCATTCTCCTTCCTGTTAACCTTTCACTGAAGCAGTATGCTGCCCACCCTCTAGTACACTGCCCAACCTGTGTCTGTTGCTCTCTGCATCTTGCAGAGCAAAAATGGCGAAACAAGCTTCCTTCCTCTTTCAGTTCTTCTTCTTCTTCTTCTTCTTCGTATTCTTCACTCTCCAGGAAGCCTCTCTGACTCCCGGCCCAGATTTGAAATCCCTCTTGGATTTCAAATCCACTTCGGACAAAGCTTACAAGCTCGCTTCGTGGAACTCGACCACCGACTATTGTTCTTGGACCGGCATCTCCTGTATCCAGAACCGGGTTTCCAAGCTCGTTCTCGAAAACCTTGAGCTTTTTGGGTCCATCCAGCGCCTGACTTCACTCACTCAGCTCAGAGTCCTTAGCCTCAAGAATAACAGCCTCTCCGGTCGAGTCCCTGATCTTTCTAACTTCACTGCGCTTAAGCTTCTCTTTCTTTCTCACAACGAGTTCAGTGGCGAGTTTCCCGCTTCTGTGCAGTCGCTTTTCAGGTTATACCGTCTCGATCTGTCGTTTAACAACTTCTCCGGCGAGATTCCAGCGACGGCCAACCGTTTGACGCATCTTTTGACGCTTCGGCTGGAGGAGAATCGGTTTACTGGTGCAATTTCGGGTCTGGGTCTCCCCAATCTGCGGGAATTTAATGTTTCCGGGAACAGACTCTCGGGTGAAATACCGGTGTCTCTTTCCGGTTTCCCCCAATCGGCATTCGGACAAAATGCAGCTCTTTGTGGGATTCCGATGCAGAAGTGCAAGAGCATTGCTAGTGACCCCACAAAACCCGGATCCGACGGAGCATTGGCATCTCCGTTGAAGCCCGGCGACGACTCGAGTACAGTAGTATCATCGCCCAGCTCGTTTCCCTCAAAGCCAAACGCTCCAAAGCCTCACCGCGAGGAAAGTACCTCTTCCAAAATCAGCCCATTGGCTCTAATAGCCATTATATTAGGCGACGTTTTGGTCCTCGCCATGGTCTCTCTCCTCCTTTACTGTTACTTCTGGAGAAACTACGTCGCCAAAATGCGAGATGGGAAGGGCTCAAAAATCCTCGAAGGAGAGAAGATAGTGTACTCGTCAAGCCCATTCCCTGCCCAACCCGGATACGAGAGGGGCCGAATGGTATTCTTCGAAGGAGCGAAAAGATTCGAGCTTGAGGACTTGCTGCGAGCCTCGGCAGAGATGCTAGGCAAAGGCGGGTTGGGAACGGCTTACAAGGCCGTACTCGATGATGGCAATGTGGTCGCCGTGAAGCGGCTGAAGGACGCCAATGTGGGTGGGAAGAGAGAGTTCGAGCAGCACATGGAGGTCCTGGGGAGGCTGAGACATCCCAATTTGGTTAGTTTGAAGGCTTACTACTTCGCCAGGGAGGAGAAGCTGTTGGTTTATGATTACATGCCCAATGGAAGCCTCTTTTGGCTTCTCCACGGTACGTTACATCAAGTTACTTCCTTTCTTTCTAATTTTGCCCCATTTTTTGCTGTTTGATCGCCGAGGAAATTGGCAAGAAAATTTTCTCTGGGAAGAAAAGCTGGGAAAACGATAGTGGCTTGTTTTATCTTGAATATGAGACTTAATGATTTACTTCCCTGTAGGTAACCGGGGACCCGGGAGAACCCCGTTGGACTGGACCACAAGGCTGAAAATAGCAGCAGGAGCAGCCCGCGGCGTAGCTTTTATTCACAGCACATGCAACACGGTTAAGCTCAACCACGGCAACATCAAGTCCACCAACGTCCTCCTAGACAAAACCGGAAACGTCCGCGTCTCTGACTTCGCCCTTTCCGTTTTCTCATTGCCCACCACCAACGCCCCGCGATCCAACGGCTACCGTGCTCCGGAGTTGTTATCCTCTGATGGTCGGAAAGGCACCCAGAGATCTGATGTCTACTCCTTTGGGGTTCTCCTCCTGGAGTTGCTTACTGGAAAGTGTCCTTCAATTGTGGACGGTGGTGATGTGTCTGGGTATGGATACGGCGGTCCCGTGGACCTGCCCAGGTGGGTCCAGTCTGTGGTGAGGGAAGAATGGACGGCTGAGGTTTTTGATTTGGAGCTGATGAGGTACAAGGATATTGAGGAAGAAATGGTGGGGCTGCTGCAGATCGCCATGGCTTGCACCGCGGCAGCGCCTGATCAACGGCCGAAGATGAGCCAAGTTGTGAAGATGATCGAGGAGATTCACGGGGTGGGGGTGTCCCCGTGCCACGAGGGTTTTGACTCCGTCTCCGATTCACCTTGCGTATCGGAAGACAGGGGTGGAGTAGTGAGTCAGTGATTCTTTAATTCGAAGAAGACTGATGATGTAGATCTACTAAATTCGGCCTTTTTTGAAAAAAAAAAATTAACCTTTGTTAAGTTACTAGATGGTCCGAATGAAAGAGACCAAAAAAAAAAAAAAAAAAGTTAAATGGGCAGTCTTTTTCATTTTTTTGGTTGTTTTCCCTCTTGGGTTTTGGCTAATTGCTTGGCTGTGAGTCTGTGACGCCTAAAATAAAGTTCTTTTTCGAAAACCCTATTGTTTGTCAACCTTTTTTTTTTTTTTCTTGGGACCAAATCAACTTAAATATTTTATTATTATAGAATGTGCGCCGCCGTAAATTAATCATTTTTGGTACGAATGTCAAAATTCCAATGGCAAAAGATGCAGATTAGCCCCTCAACTCGTTGTGTGGTGGCAGATCAGCCCCTCAACTCAGTTCACGCGCAAATCAACCCCTTAACTCGCATGCGGTGGCAAATCAACCCCTTAACTCGCATGCGGTGGCAAATCAACCCTCTGTTAAGCCGGACGTCATTAATCCGTTAAGTTTTAACGTTCCGCTCATCAGCCCATACCTTGCATCTGACCTGAATTGTTTTTGCTGAGATGGATGTTTTGTTAGATTGAAGAGAGTGCAGGGAATGAAGGTAGCCAAGGGTGGGAATCTGGTATTCTGTGCGGGAGAGGCCTAGCTCTATACGCTGGACCAACTGATGAGAGCGTCGGCGGAGTTACTAGGGAGAGGTACAATGGGGATCATATACAAGGCAGTGTTGGGTAAGTGTCTGATCGTGACGGTGAAGCAGCTGGATGCCGGATTAGCCGGCACATCGAAGGAGGTGTTCGAGCAGCTCATGGAATCGGTGGGTGGACTCAGACACCCCAATTTGGTCCCACTCAGGGCGTATTTCCAGGCCCATAAAGAAGGGCTTCTTATCTACGATTACGAACCCAATGGCAGTCTCTTCTCCCTCATTCACGGTAAGCCTTCATTACTTCATTACTTCATTTTCTCTGTTCATTACTTCATTTTCCCTGTTCAGTTTCAATGTGTTAACTCGTCATTCCAAGCTTGTTAACTCAGTGACTACCCAATTAAGAGTACGACTATAATTATATTGGTAATAGCTTTATAGTAGCTGAATAGGATTAGGAAAATTATCTTTGAATTTTTT